ACCCCTGACCAAGACCCCCCCGCCGTTTGTTTCAGTGTTGAAATAAATACTATTTGGCTTGCTACCAAGGCAGATAACATGACTAATTAACTAGCTAACGTCAACTAGTTTCCTCCCTCACATTACCGGTACTTCACAGAGTGAGGAATAGCAGTCTGAAGTCTGCAGGTTTAGGCTCACTTAAGTGACTGCATTTTTTTCATTTATAGGGATTTTTCTTTTACAGAAAATTATTTATTTATGTTCTGATTATTGTTGAACTGCAGGTTTAGGCTCACTTAAGTGACTGCATTTAATTAAGAAGAATTTAATTATTTATTCTAATTATTTAGCCTGACATGTTTACTGTTCCAAAATGTTCTATATGTTTCTTAAAAATAAAATGTGTTCAGTGGAAAAAAAAGTTGTTTTTTTTACCCAGACATTTAAAAATAACATTTTAGAGCTGTAATCGCAATACCGTGATACAGTGAAACCGTGATATTTTTATCTAAGGTTATCATACCGTCAGAATCTCATACCGGCCCATGCCTACCCACCCACAGGGATCCGTTTTAGGCCCTCTTTTGTTTTCTCTCTATCTTCTTCCTTTTGCTATTTTTCGTAAGCATCAGACGTCGTATCATTGATATGCAGATGACATACAGCTTTATCTCCCTGTTAAATCTGATGAGAATACGTCTCTTCAGCCATTATTTGACTGTTTTAATTAAGTTAAAAGTTGGATGGCAGATAACTTCCTTCAATTAAATGACTCTAAGACTGAAGTGTTAGTTTTTGGACGTCCGGATTTTGCAAATACCCTCTCAAAGACCTTGGCTCCTATAACTAACACCGTAGGTTCTCATGCAACAAATTTGGGAGTTATTTTTGACCCAGCACTTAAATTTGACAAACAAATAATTTCAGTTGTCAAATCTGCATTTTTGCAGCTTAGGATGATTGCCAAAATCAAATCTTTTCTTTCTTTTAAAGATTTAGAAACTGTTATCCACGCATTCATTTCATCCAGACTTGATTACTGTAACTCATTGTATTTAGGGGTCGCTCAATCTTGTCTGTCTCGCCTTCAGTTGGTCCAAAATGCTGCGGCCAGATTTTTAACAAAAACTAGGAAGAGGGAAAATATCACTCCTGTTTTGGTTGGTTTGCATTGGCTTCCCATTGAATATAGAATCCAGTTTAAGGTATCACTATTTGTTTACAAGTCCCTCACAGGCTTGGCACCAAACTATTTATCTGATCTTCTTCCCCATTATCAGACCAACAGGCCATTAAGGTCATCAAACACTTTGTTGTTGTCTGTTCCTAAGACACGTTTAAAACTTAAGGGGGATCGGGCATTCTCGGTGGCAGCACCTCAGTTGTGGAATAACTTGCCTCTTTACCTGCGATTGGCCACTTCTCTTCAGGTTTTTAAATCTTTAGTAAAAACATATATTTTTAAAAAGGCTTATGGGCTGGAGTAACTGCTGTATATAGTTTTATTGTGTGTATATTTAGTGTTGTGTATTATTTCTGTCACCTTTTTATTGTAAATGTTATGGTTATTGGCTTAATTCTACTTCTCTGTGCAGCACTGTGGTCGGCTCTGTCGTTTTTAAATGTGCTATATAAATAAATTAAACTGAAACTGAAACTGAGTGACACAACAGAGAAATAATTCACTAGAATAACTCTAGCTGACGCTGAACACCAAGAATAAATAGAGTTTATAAACATAAATGACACTGACCGCTGTGATAGACGAGACAAAACAGCAGAAGATTCAAGCATCTGAACCTGTTGAGAATAAGAGCTGTTATGAGACAGATACAGACACACATCACAAACACATTAATACAGCCATAAAATACTGCTGAGTGGAAAAATATTACAGAACTGACCACAATACAGCGACTACAAACCTTCAGTTTCAGTGTTATTTAAATATTTAACGTGGATCTTGCATTAAAAAAATGTCTAATAAGAAACAAACTATAATCTGAGTCTTTGGTTTTATAAATATGATCAGTTATTAACATGATCCGTCAAACCCAAAAGCCCATTAGACACAAACAGACAGAGTAACCAAACAATCCTCTCATCAACGTAGAAATCATTTGATTGCATTGAGTAATTAATGTAGAACTTAATAATTACATTAATAACCCCACTAATAAAAACCATCATCATAATCTTTGTGAATCAGCATAATGACAAACATGTTCGCTTATTTCATCAGCATTATTAGCATCTTTAGCAGGCAACCCGTTTCACAAATAAACACAACTATTTGTATAATAACACAAAAACACACAAGCTTTATATTTAAAAGGATAAAAAAAACTTACATTGTAAAAGTTCAGCATGAGTTTTATATTCTGGCTGTTTAAATTTCGTAAACCACTGTACGTTTAGCGAGATCGAAGTAAACAAAACCGAAAGTGACACGGGGATTTTCCAGATATCCAGATATGATTGGTCTTTATTGCCCTCTGCTGGTTATTCTATTAAAGCAGAGTCCAGTAAATCCAGATACAGTCAGCTGAAGTTTATTCTGAACAAGATCTCTGATGATTTCAGTCTGATCTCAACAGTTGAGCAGATTTCAGCTCTGACTGTGTCTCAATCTGATGCAGCTTCACTAAGACACTGTTTAGTATGTAAGTAAATGCAATTTAACATCTACATATGTATCATAATATTATCAATAAAGCATTATTTTTCTGAACTTAGTAAAAGAAAATAGTAAAACGATTTAATTCATACATAAATACAAACCAACAAATCAACACCAAGAAAAATGTTTCTTACAAAAATAGTTTTTGTTTTTACAAAATATACATATGTACAAGCACACTGTTGGTCGTTCACAGTTTGGCACAGATTTGCATGTTTACTGTTTATATTATAACATTCTAATTATATTTATATTATATTATAAATACTTGACTATTTTGTTCTGTTAATGGATTAGGATTAGAATAGAAACAATAATTCCTAGTTAATGAATTAGGATTGGTATAAGTGACCAGTCCAGATCTTTAAGGCAGTTTTACACAAATACTAAATGCAGATACAGTTACACTGATTCCTGATGTAGGGCTCTGCTCCAAATGTGCACACATACTGAAAATTAAAAATACAGTGCAGAAGTATGTTGACAGAATCCTCTGCAGATCTGTTGACTCTGAAGGCAAATTACAAGTAAAGATTTGACATTTGGACGAGTTGAAGCTACATTGAGAGTTAACATTTCACAAAACCCATGTGTATGATGCAGTGTATGATGGGGGATTTTTAAACTCAAATTTAAGACCTGCACAAATAAAATTAATTCCATTAGAGCAGAGTAGGGCAATGTCTATGATAACATACTAAACCATAAAATGACTGTAAAAAGCATGATTTAAGACTGATTAAGGAAAAGTCGTGTGGTGAGTTCCAGTCTTAAGCAGTGACGTCACTAATGTCCTGCACACCTCTACAGTTTCATCAGAGTCTGTGGGGCCCTCAGCAGACATCATTATGGGCCCTCAGTGCTTCTGGGTCTCCTGTGCTCAGTCTCTCTTTTCCTCCTCGAGAGACACACGCAGTTAACCTCTGAGCAGACGCTTGTGTAACGTGACAGCAGTCAGAATCAGAGCCAGCAGAACCAAACCCACAGTCAGTGCAATCCAGTAGCCTACAGCTGGAAGAGAAAAGTAGTGACAGAGCACTGATTTTATTCTTAATTCAGTTTAAGATATTTGTAAAGCTCTCAATACCTCTGTTTTACTCACTATGATATTTAGTGTCATCAGTTTTGTCTTTATCAGTGTCGTGCAGTTTCTCCTTTGATTCTGTACAGCATATTGAAAGGTTAGTCTCACAGTTTAATATGAATCTGCTGCTTAAAGATAATATTTCTAAACATCACTGAGCTTCTCTCACCTCTGACTGTCACTGTGATCAAGGGTTCTCCTGAAGGCTCCAGAACTCTGTATGATCCTGTGTCTCTGGCTGTAAAGTTACTAATGATCAGGTTTCTATCTCTGATGGTGATTCGTTCGCTCTGAACTCCGTCGCTTCTGCTCCAGACCTTCATCCACTCTGTGCTTCTTCTGCTCTGATGCTGCACTTTATCAGCTTCTGACAACAGAACATCTAACTCCAGCTGCTCACCGATGCTCACAGAAATCTCATCTGAGGAGACACACAGACAATCATTATTATGATGCTGTCACTCAATCAAGACCATAAGCACATATTTAGGATTGGAGGACCAAGTGTAATCATTCATTATTTATATGAAATCAGCCATCAGAAAAACCCATATTGGTGACTAATATTCAGAGTCTCTGCTGGTTACATGCAATAACACACAATTACTAAAGAAAACCCAGAAAACACATGCTGATCAGTTTTGTCTTTACCATGAATATGAAGTTGGTACGTCCTGATTTGTCGCTCCAGCTCTGTCTGATCATTATTGTAATAGACATGCAAGTAGTATTTCCCAGCGTCACTGAAGCTCAGATTCTTGATGACGACGTCACAGTTTCCTTCTTTAAACACTCGAACACTACATTCTTCATCCTGACACACATCTATGTTTTCTGACCGACTGTTTAAACTAATAACAGAAATCTTATTAGCCTCATATTGACATGCGAGTGTGATGTTTCCTCTCTTTTCTCCTGACACAGATATAGTGCTGGTTTCTGCAAATAAAGACAGTATAATATTAATGTAATACAACACAAAGTTCAATACAAAGTAAACAGAAAAATAAATGGTGTTTCTCTTTATTCTCTGTAATGATGTGTGTGTGTGTGTGTGTGTGTGTGTGTGTGTGTGTGTATGTGTGTGTGTGAGTAAGAGTGTGTGTGTGTGTGTAAATGAAGGCAACAAGTAGCCAATTATATTAGAAGTGACACATTACAAAAGTTTCAAATGTTGATGACAATAGTATAAAAGTGTAGCAGATATATCAGTGCAGTTGCAGTGAATTCCTGAACAGTGTTTAATTAATGAATGAACTGCATAGATAAACCAGTGATGGCAGTGTGTGTTATTTATGTAATATGATTGGAAATTTCCACCATCAATCCACAAATACCCACCAAATTGACTGCTGTAACTGACAAAACACAGCAGCAGCAGCAGAATCAACCTGACGAGAAACAGAAGAGCTGTAATGTGACAAACAGAGTTACAGCAAACTCTAAACTTTCACTTTCATTTCATTTGAAGATCCGTACGTGTTAAAAAATATCCAATAAGAAACATACAACTATTATATAATCTTTTTTATCTTTGTTTCTCCCATCATAGAAACACAATGGCATGCTTTTCCCCCAATCATAGTCAAATACAGTGAAAAAGAACAAGAAGGCAAATATAAAGCATATTTCTAGTCAAAATATGTGGAAATGAAGAATAAGAACAACAACAAAAATATAAGGTGCACATATTTGAAAAATAAATACAAATGAAAAACCTAAAGAAAATAAATGTACTAAATAATAATTGGGAAGTTATATAAATGTTAATTTATTAATTAATGTATTAATTTATAACATCATAAATGTATATTTTAGAAATTTCTATTGTTTTTAAAAGTTTCTTGTTTTGTGTTCTCAAGTTTAAAAGGGTTTAAAGTACACTGTGCGATCAGTATGACAAATTGTAAAGATGTGCTTTTTTTTTTTTTAATAGATGATAACAGTGTATTCAACTATTATTAATTACATTCATAATAGCATCAAAGGAAAAACTATACAGGGGATAATTTACAAGAGATTTCCAAAAGAAAAGGATTCAAAAATGTTATGAATCTTTTTTGCTTTTTTATTTCTTACATCTTTTAAGGCCTCAGTGTAACGTTTTAGATTTTAAATAGGCCTAATGTAATGTTAGGTTTATTATTAGTACATTTTTGTTTGTATATGGTATTTCACCTTCATAATTAATTACCAAATTTTGCTCCAAAATCTTATTTTTATACAAAAATATATCTTTACCACAGAGTCGAATCTTTAATTTTGTACATTTAAATATTAATATCGATCCAAAACAACTGGGTAAATACACATTCATAAAATAAGTGTTTTATGGATTCATCCTTTAAGTCACAAAAGACACATGTATCTCAATGGTCTCCAAAATAAAATAAAATAAAAACACTGTGTGCTGCTCATAAACTGTATTCTGCTGTCCAGCTGACGTCATGGGTTCTCGTACTGTTGAACATAGGCCTATAGTACAACAGTGTTGCCAGGTCCGTGGTTTTTCAGCGTAATTCGGCAACTTTTAACACTGTTGCTACGGGTTGAAGCGACCCTAATAACGTGATATTTAGCACCTGGAATGCAAATTTTACCAGAGGAACAACGCCAAAAAAAACGTGTATTTTACCCCCGGAACCCGATTGGTCTAGTTTTGAGTAGCAATTGGGCGGGTTTTGTTGTGAAAACCTGGCAACCAGTGGTGTAGTCCTAAAGAAAAAAGTGGTTTACTATTACCAAGTAATATTACCCTAATACCCCCCCCCCAAAAAAAGTTTCATTTATATAGTAATTTATTAATATATTAATGCAGTGCACTCTAAAATTGGTTGACAGATAGTAGTCTACTGCATGACTTCCAGGTTGTTCCAGGTCTGTTGACCACATTACAGTTCTATATATAATTTCAAGTTGCTTTGGAATTGTATTCATTGTGAAAAATGTTTTACAGATAAATCTGAATTTAATGTTTTATTTTATGCAACTGGGTAGAAAAAAATAACGATATGAATTCATTAAATAAATATTTCCAGATAATATTTTCTTAAATTTGCTTTGCCTTTAGCACAGTGGAAATTTAAAAGACAACAATTTAATAAAACATAATTTATATTTATACTTATAATATGATGCCTACCATTTTTCTCAAACAGCATAAGTGGGTCTTTATACATGTCAAACATATAGCTAATGTTATAGTTTAGGAAGGGAATCATCTCCTGCAAGAGGATTTTCCAGCGTGTAGCGTGAAAAACAAAAGTTTTATACAAATAGGCCAATATGGATAACATAAATTACATATAGCCTACATAAAACGTGCAAAGAGAGCTCCCTAAAAACATGTCATTCGTCTTAGCTGATTGCGATCTCACAAAGTTCCGTTATAATCAATGAATCTCTCTGTACTGCACAGGAGCGCAAACACAAATGTGCACTAGATAGTTTGCCAAATCTGTTTATTACAGCTTCAGCTGCGTGTGCTCTTGCTTTCTTTAGCTTTTGCTTTCACTACCATCCCCTTAAAACCAGGCCTGAACTAAGGGCAAGGCTGGACTGGGACACAATTTCAGGCTGGGAAATCTCACACTCATCCAGGCCATCCTATACACCCACAACAAATTCTGAAACCAAACAGCCCTATTATTTGTATGGCCATCACAAAGGTCTTGGGCTGGAGCTGTGCAACATAATTTAAGGTTCTTGAACTGCACCTTCACTTCCATTTTCCGTTTCTTCATTTTCCCCAATATCTCTGTCCATCCCTTGCGTATATGTGTGTTTTTTTTCTTGTACCTGTCACTTCTTCACCAGCAGGTCTACCGTTATGAACAGAACTGTGTCCATCTAGTTGCAAAACAACCACCTCATTTTAATTTGTTTGCACAGAATGTTATTTATCTTAAAATGACTTAAATACCCAAGATGTAACAAACCTATTTTTCATACAAATATATTAAAACAAATTTGTGTTTAAAGTGCCTATTTATAAAAATGTGTGCAATACGTTTATTGAAAAATCCTAATAGCCTTCTGAACACACTATTGCATTGACT